TAATTCTACATAATCAACATTTTCTTTGATTTCTTTAAATTAATAAATCTCTAAATTCTACAAAATTAAAATGTCTCGACAACTATCTTCTTTTTTCCAAAAAATGTGAAAAAGCTTTTGAAACTACTTTTAATTTTCTTGAACAAGATAATATACAAGCAGATTATAATGAATTAAAAGCTTTAAAATCATTGAAAAAAAAATTTTCATATAGTATTCAAAATTCAATACAAACAAACATCACTAGTTTTTTCAGTAAATAATTGACTATTAATTATCATTTTAATTTTTTGTATTATTATATTTAAATCATTAAACAAAGAAAATTTATTAAAATTTTTCTGTTGATCCTGTCAATCATTATCTCGTTTCAACGGATTTTTCATTTCAACAGTCAGTCCCATAGATCTGTTGAAACAAGGTTTGACTATATATATGAATTTGACCCAGCTGCAGCAGTAACCTATATATGGAGTTTGCAGGGTCCTGATACAGTGATATACAATGAATTAATTTTATTCACAGTAAAAATTTACTTTTTTTTTGAAATAAAAAAGTTGGCTTTTGAAATTTACCATCCAAATGAAACAAAGGATTCCTTCCCAAAAAATTAGGTTTTAAAAAATGATTTTGGGTTTTTGGCACAATCAACATTTTCGTCATATTTAGTAAAATCAAATGTTTTATTCTTAAAACAAGCAATGCAGATAATGAATAGGAAAAATACAATTGGCAAAAAACCTGCATGAAAGCATTGATGATAAAAATCGGGTTTACATTTGATTTGTCATCATGGTTCTGGATCTCAAAACAAGCTGTTTTACTTTGTGGTATTAACTATTCCTGGAGTGAATCAATTAGATTATTGACTGAATTGTTTTTCAGTTGCAATTATATAGATTTCAGATATAACTATGTAGATTTCAGTTGCAACTTTTATAAAATAACAGATAATGTGACATTATAAGACTCTAAAAAATGACATGGAAATTGGCAATTGTGTTATTACTCATACAATTGTGAATTGGTTGCAAGTTTGATGCCATTGAGTACAATTATGTGCAAAGACATGGGTTACAGGTCAATTGTGAATACCCTTTTCGTAAGGGTGTGATTTTAACATTCCAAATCATTAATTCTTTTTTTCACAATTCAAGAAATTATGTTTAAAAGTATTCAAATGCAAAAGAAAGATTTAATTATTTTATTTATTTAAATATTAAAAATAAATTTATTATGATTGTAATAAAAAAAAATAAAATGGAAATAATTTCTAATTGTTGTGGTGAGGAGTGATTGCTCTTATTGTTGCAATGAGTCTTGTTGTTGTTGTAATGACTATTGTTGTTACTGCTGTAATGATCATTTATATTGTTGCTGCTGCTGTTCCAATGATGATATTCTGCCAAGATGCTGATTAAGTTGTTCATGGATTGGCACTTACTGACGAGTAGCAGTAGCAGTAGCAGTAGAAGCAGCTAATTGGTTGCATGAAAATCATTTGGTTTTTATTAATGCTATTCATTTTTTGTAATTACTGTTTTTTCTTTGTAATTATATGCAAGATGAAAAAAACATCTTTCCACCATATTCTAAGTTGCCATAACTGATAAAAATTAAACACAGGTTGTTAATTAAGAATTCCTGTTTTTTTCCTTTGCATCTGTGTGTGAGATAAAAAAACATCATCTTTTCACCATCCATGAGCTGTTGCAGATCACAAAAACAATTATTTCATTGGCCAAATTTTTGTTGATCTTATTCCAAATTATCACATAAGATCTAATTTTGATATCATAGTGGAAATTTGTTGTTACACGAAATGTTATACAGAACCCATTGCTCCTGAAACTTCACCAGTATATATATAATTGTTACCTACCTAAATTGGATATCAAGTTCAGCAGTTACTTTTTATTGCCAGAATGTTTGTCATGTATTGTAAAGCTACGTTGCACAATATAAAAAATTAGTGCAACATTTTAAATTTCCACTATGCTAATTTTGATTGGGTTTGACAATTATTATAAATAAAAAATCACAGCATTAAAAAATTTCAACTTTTGATAATCAAACACAACTTAAAGCCAGCTTGGGATTATGGGTAGGAAAATACATATTTGTAATAAAATTAAATATTTCATTTAGGAAAGCAATAAAAACTATTATTTATTACCTTTGTTTATTTGTTTTAATAATATCAAATAATAATAATAATAATAATAGTCACATAGCATTCTTTCTGATTGTATAGATCCATTTTTTAATTAATGCAATGTTGTATATACATACTCTTATTGTTAATAATAGTAGTATTATTATAGTAATATCAACTAGAATATTTTGATCTATCACTGGTAAAAAAATTTTTAAATGTTAATAATTAAATTTATATAATTTTTTTTTAAATTATATTAAAATATTCTATTTTCTAATATCAATAAAATGAACAATAATGATATTATCCAAAAACCTTATGTCTGCTTATTATAAATCAACTGTTATATTATCTTTCAATAAACTACAAATATAATAATAATAATAATAATGGAGTTACACGAGCAAATACATACACTCCCCTACAAAAAATATCCAACCACTTGTGCTGTGTAACGTCAAATGAAAAAATTACTTACTAAATAAAGTACGTTTTCTTAAATAAAACCTTTTCTGCGATACTAAGTAAACTCATATTTGATATCAAAGCTCTATATTACAGAAATTTCGAACAGTTCAGTATGGTATTAATGGAAATACTTAACAAATCATCCAAAAAAGCAAATTTCCGATTGAATTTTTTTTTACATGTAATAAAAGGTCAAATTTTTTTGTTGTAATGTATATTATTACCTTAATAAAACGTGCTTAACGTAAC